GAATATTTTATGGCATTGAGCCTGAATTTGGATATGACTCGGGGTATTGGGTTATAATTAGAAAGATGTATGCACTTGAAAATGGCGGTGATAGATTAATAGCTTTGTTTAGGCAGCAATAGTTTGTCCAATTTGAACTACTGTTTTATCGTAGATTTGATGAGCTGAGATGCCGCCGACCCAAATCGGACCGCAAACTTCACTTTTTAACTTTTTTTGGGGGGACAGATTGAGGTTATTTGTGGCCCAAAGCAATTCTTTTTGCGCGTATTGGTTAGGTCATATTTTGGCCATCGGCTATAGTAATTCGATTTAGGGTGCGGTTTTTTGGGCTGAATTTTTTAACACCTTAAGTTTCCTAGCAGTGCGATTTTTGTCCCCTAAAAATCGTCGATTTGATAATCTTCGTTTTTTTTTGTGCTGAAGAAGATGATTCAGAGTAATTGGTGCGTGTTCATGATTATCATATAAAAGACGCTTGTTTAGAAATGGATGATAAAGCTGGTGTGAAAAAACTGGGAGGCTGGGACAGTCTGGCAAAAAAAAGTCAAAGCGGCGGCCTGAGCCTGGATACCTCTGTCCAGTTCGAGCTATTTCGAAAGCAAGCAAAAGAGAAAGAAGAGAAGGTACTTACTTTGCTTTGATAGTTTGTTCAGATCTGTCGTTGCTTCGTAGTGCGCCTTGATACTGTGGAGTGCCGGGAAGTTCATCGATGATTGCTGTGGCAAAAACTGCATCATCCCGAAAAAAAGCGCCACCGTCTAATTTTTTATTCTTTTTGCTAAATTAATTTTTATTTATGAAGGAATGGTGTTGATATTAAATGCCGTTCAGTCATAGATTTGCTTTTAAATGGCCCTTTTATCTGATGAAAATTTCGATTTCGTGGAAAAAAATTCTGTTTTTTTTGTTTTTGATGAAAATTTTGTTTTTGTGAAAAAAAAATTCTGCTTTTTGTGAAGGATGAAATTGAGTTTAGGAACTATTTCCTGGTAGTGGTGCTTTTCTGCTCATTCTTGAGAACGTAAAATTTGATCCCACTGACTTGCTTGAATTTTTAGCGTAAACAGCTACGGGTGGAAGAGGAGCGAAAACGACGACTGAAAGAGCAGGAAGAAAAAGAGCGAGCTAGGGATCAAGCCGCAGCCGAAAGTGCTGAGCTAGAGCTGAAGCGGCAAAATGAGCTTTTACGCCAAAAAGAACAGGTTTTTTTGCTTTGTTTTCGACTTTTTTTGCGTTTTCTGACTCCTTTCTGGATTCTCAGGATCTTGGAAAAGTGAGGTTTTGATGATATCGCAACACGACTTGAAAATATATTACACTTTTCTGATGTTGCCTTTTTGCACCGTTGATTGTAATAGCACCGTTCCCAATGCGCATCGCGGTACTGTTAAGGTCTCAGCTTTGATAAATCTGGTAATTTTTCTCAGCTTGATAAATTTGATAAATCTGGCGTTGCATTTTTTGGGAACTGTTTAATGAATTCTTATGAAATTTTGGTACCTTTTGTTGTTGAGGTGCAGTTTGAATTGCAGGAAAGACGCCGACGAGAAGCGATGAGCACCGGTAGCAACGTGACCAGTCAGATGGATTTGATGCTCAATTTTGAGGCGAATTTGTAGTGCGTTTTTATGCTTTTCTATGTGATGTGGAGATTTCTATCAACAGTATATGTGTATTGTTTTTTTCTCCATCAGTCTTTGCGCTTATTAAATAATGACAATTCGAGTGAAACGGTGTTTTCTCTCGGTTGGATGGTATTTTTTGAATTCGATCTCCTCCTCCTCTCACCGGTTTCTTCCTCTTTAAAAAAAAAAAATCTATAACTTGTAAAAGAAGAAGGGAACTTCAAAAAAATCTTTTTATTTTTCGAAAAATTGCCTTCTATCGCTCGGTGCATTTTTCAAAAGTTGTCGATTGTTCTAGCGATTGGCTCGAGCAGTTTTGTAAGTAGCCTGCCTTCCCGGGTACAAATTGCCACTGTTCTGTTACCATGGTCGCCGAGAGTTAAAATGTTGATGGTTTGGGCTTCGCGGTGTGCTTTAATACTAATAATCATCAAAAAAAAAATTTGAAAAAGTCGTAAAGGGATTGGTTTTCTCACTGACGAGCCGGGGCCTTTTTGCCTTCAGCTTAACAGCAGCCATACTGCCCCCGTTATTACACCTATGCCTACCCAATGCTGTTTCAGGTAGAACGAGGATCCTGTGAAAATGAGGGATGAGGAAAGGAATAGTGGAGATAAGTTTTACTGAATTTTCCAGGACTTTTGCGTTGAGAATGAGTTTTCCAAAAAAAAAATCAAGCGATTTTTTAATTGGGGATTTCCACTTTTCAAATAAAGTTTGCTCTTTCTGGGGCAAAACAATTGTTGCCTTTCTTTGGTTACTAAAAACAAAACCCTGCCCGATTTCCTTTCATTTCTCCCCGGCTCACTGTTTTACAGTCTCTCGCCTTCCCTTCTTTACCCCAGTCTTTTACTGCTGCTCAG